CGTAATTGGTTATTTCGGTTATTTAATCGTGTGTGTGTGTGTGTGTGTGTTCGTTCGTGTTCATGCTACTTTCCCCTTGAAACATGATACCGTGTGTGTTGTCACATGACTCCGCCCCACTAACCGCCTTCACTTCCCAGAAGATGTGGAAACAACAGACAGACTTTTAATAACAGACACACTGACTCTTTCTCTTATTCGCTCGTCCACTCACTTGCTAAGCAAACACATTGCACTGCAGTTAAAATACCTAACTCTGCTGCCCTTATAACAGCCAGGTCTGTCACGTAGATGTCCTTTGATGAATGAGGAGAGGAAGCTAGCAAAGCGTGATTTGCTGTGCTCACACAGTGTGCGGGTGAAAATAATTTGTTCCGCATTGATAGTAAATAACTGAGTGAAATCTTAGTAGCAGCGGTCATAATTCAGCAGCGGCGATGCACCGAATATAGTGGAACCATGTCTCTGTAATGTGCACGTCAACATTACCTTATTGATTAACATTTAGATAATGGATTTGTGAAATCTGTGAATCCAAAAAATAAATAAACCCAGCTTTAATAGTTGAGCATATTTACAGTACAAACCTTGTCAGTGAACTATTAGGGCAAAAAAACAACATTCAAAAACATAATAGTACAATAATCGTAAACGTGGTAAAATGTTCAGTTAATTTAGATTTTAGGTCAAATCGTCCAGCCCTACTCGCCCGTTTATATATTATAGGCTTAAAGTTATGCAGAGTGACAAGTAGGTGCCATCACAGTTGGCCTGCCGGTAGGTGGTTTCAGCAACCAGGCTTCATTCAGCCCGCCTCAACTCCAACTCATTATTGTATGTCTCTGCATACTGATGTTTGTACACATCGACCATGTGAGCAGTGTTCAGGGCATACAGGAAAGCCTGAGCAACCAGACCATAACATAGTTTGAACACATAAGATTTAAAATATTAATGTTCTACCTTTTTTAGCATAGCATTATTATTATTTTATTCATATTTTTGGCATTGAATCTGATGTTAAGTCAGTATTAGCCATGTACTCAACAACTGTCGAAGGCCAGCACCTAATTATTTATTCGATTAGTCGACTAGTCACGATTATTTTGTCACCCCTTAACCCTAAAGCTGATGATACATGGGGCAACGTTTTCTTTGGCAGGTTTGTGCAACGGTGTTCAGGAGAGAGAGGGAGCGAGCGAGGAAGGAGGTGCTGCATTGCTCCTCAATACAGTCAAATATGATTTTAAATACGCCCTCAGGGTAGAGGGGATGGTGGAGGGAAAGGCGAGTGTCTCTCCTTCTCACTTGTTTGTACTAAAACTGATTTTATTGTTGGCCATGTGGTCTTAACTTTCCAATGATTCTTCACTCATTAGTCAAGAAATTCCAGCAGTTTCATATACAGCGGATCGCGTGGAACCAACATTTTTGTATGTGTGTTTTTTTTTTTTTTTTTTATTCTGTTTTATGGATAAGTCTTCCTATTATGCCATGCCGCAATCCAAATTTCCCATGCAGGACAATTAAAGGCTAAAATTAGCAAAATTATTTAGGATATAAACTCTTGCTTTACTTGCATGCAATTGCATGTGACATCTTGCATGTATATAGTGTAATTTAGGTATGTGCATGTATAGATGTGAGCGCCTCATGTTTTACCAGTCCAGCTTGCTTATTTATAACTTTGCAAAAAAGAAAGTCCTTGGTGCCAGGGACCAATGTTGCCATGGACCCATGTGCTCACGACTGCACCACAGTGACGCTGCACTGTCACCGTGTCCTCTCACTTTTGCTGACTCCAATGCAACCCAAAGCTGTCCCTTGATTTGATTTGGTCTTTTCAGTTAAGTTGCTAGGGTCAGGTCAGCTCCCAGTCTCAAGTCCCAGCAAGAGGCCAGGGCTGCAATGACAACAGCAAGGCACTGCAGGAGTGAAGACAGTGCCAACTTCCCAAGCAGAAGTTGTCAATGGCCATGCGCTGGCCAAAGAGCAGAATTAAAGCATCAGGAATGTGTAGTCTCTTCCTCTTACTAGATACCAGTTGATATGGGATGAAGACAAGCATGAAAACAGGCTTTTTCAGTCGTGCTGCACTCCTCCTACAACTCTTTAATTTTTAAATTGCTATATTTAATTCTAATGTACTTTGAATGGATCTGTGAGCATGTAAGCTCTAATTATTAACTGCATAGTGATTCATTTTTGCCAGTACTTTGACAATGCAGCACGCAATAGTTAATGAAGTTTTTTCAAGTCTGGATGTGTTTGCATATGCGCACGTGCCTTTCGTGCGCTTCTCTCTATTATCCTGTCTGTCTCCATGTGACGTCTGATCTCCCAGATTGCTGCGTCACAGCGAGGTGCTCAGCTGTTTGCCTCGTGGGATGCCTGACCAGCTCACACTGATCTCCACACTGAACTAAATTTACACATATTATACTCACCTCTATGGGGCTGCAGAAAAGTGTGCACCCATGCAAGCCACGGCATTTGTACACTCAATGCTACTTTCTTTTTTTGTTTTGTCCCTTCTTTGCTAGTGTATGTACAGTGTATGAATGATGTTATGCAAACTGAAGCTCCTACCTAATCTAAAGCCTCATGTCTCAGCTGGCTGGAGCTGAATTAGGTTGTGTAATATCATCTGGAAAATTAATTTGCTCGCCAGAGGTTGCACACTCTGCACAATTCGAGTAAAAACACAGATTTGGATTCCCCCAATGAGATCCATAGCATAGAAATTTGTTATTTCTGACAATACTATTACCAGAGCTTGTCAGCATTAGACTCAGTGAGCACTGCTGCATCAGGTGACCGCTGTGGCTGAATGATAGATGTTTTTTAATGGTCCGTGAACATGGCCAGCTCAGTCAGAATGACATAGCGACCGTAGCTGCAGACCTGCAACAGGCCAGGTCTCATTGTGTCCTCTTCCCTGTGGCTTGCCAGCTGAGACACACCTATAGAGCAACATTAGGATTTATACCACTGGGAGTGAGAGTGAGAACACTGTAAATCTGGTTCACAGGACACCTTATTGCTGAGGTAGCGAGGCCAGGAGAGCAATGAATCCTACTGTACACTCATTACGCTGGAGGGCTGCACATGGTATATTCATATAAACATGTTTGTGTGAGAAAGAACATTGTAAGTTCACCTAGGGATAACCCAGTCAACACACCCTTTAACAGATGTAACAAATAGGACATTGTTAGGAAACCCTGCAGAATAAATTTGATTGGTAATTGGAGTTACCTCCAGTGTTACTGTAATCACACCCTGTTTGGATTTGATTTATAGGAGCAGTACTCATGGACAATGCACTTAAAAACTGCCTAGTATATACTATATCTTAACTTAGAAGATGGAACAGCCTGAACAAAAGCTATGTGGGATTTCTTCCACCATATATTAGTGATTATTAAACTAACTAACCCTCTATAGTAAACTCTGAAATAATTCACACTAGCAAGATATTTCTAGCACTGTACTTGTAAAGCTTGGTGCTTTCTCTTTTCTTAAACATTTCTTAATTGAGATGTATTTGTAAATGCAGCTGTAACCAGTCAAGTCAAGTGGCACTGGCATAGGAAAATGTTGTATACTTAACTGGAGCGAGAATGATCTTTTACTTCCATAACTTTTCTGTAACTTTCTCTTCCCAGAGTAATCTAAGATTATCGTATGAACACACAGTGACACCTGTTCCACTGGACCATGGATAGATTGGACTGTGTGTTTGTTGCGGAGGGTGGGGGGTTGTATGGGGGTGGGAAGGCAAGACTGGCTGGCTGGCTTATCCAACTCTCAGCCACTGATCTGTTGGACTCGCCCTCAGAGAGCGTAAGCCCCGCTAAAACCTGCCCTGTGTTGTGTGTTTGAGCATGTACAGCCCACGTGAGAGCAGAGCTGCTCCCTGCTTAGGATTATTCCTCTGGGAATAGGCTGAGTCACGCTACAGAAGACCAGACAGATAGAGACACAGAGAGAGGAGGGGGCTGGATGGAGATTGTAATGGGTGCCTTTTAAGATGGGTGACACTGACAAAGGAAGAGCTTATGAATAGTTTGATCTATACTGCTCTCTGCCAGTGATCAACACCTTCCTCCTCTGCAACTCATTCCTTAGGCTAATGATGATCCATTACCGTATCCACTGACAAATACAGAAACCCATGCATCTGAAAGTCACTGATGTTAGAGGCTGTACAGTTTACTGTATGTCTGATCTTTAAACCACAGTAAAGTATTTTCAGTAGGTACTGTCAGACATCACTGCATTCAGTGTCCATTAACTTGCCCTCATTCTCTTTTCTCCTCACTTTCTCTTTTAGATCAAATTTTCCTTTAATTCAGAAATTTAGATTTGGACAAAAGGTATTGTAACATAACCTGCTGCATTGAAACATGCACAACATCAGCTTTCCGTTCTTTACATTATCAAATTTCAAATAGAGGAAAACTCATAAATGTCCGTGTTTAGAGAGATGTCTGGTACGGGGAGACAACACTCTGACGACAGACAGAATAATTAAATCTCATTGTCTGTATGATTCAGGATATTAGCAGCTTCTTTGCAACTGTTTCAAAATGAGGTTAACCCACTTTGTGATATTTTCATCTGGTTCAATGCTAAATTTAGCTTGTTGAAATGTGGGAACTTGGATTTTACTTTCTGCATTTTAAGGGTTTTAGCTGACGCTCCAATTTAGAGCGACTCACAGTGAGCGTGCAGGCAAGGGTTCGGAATCTTGATCAAGGACGCACTGACAAGGCACTGTGTTGATTATCTCACATTATCTGTTGTAGTTGAGGGGATAAGGGCTAAATTCTTTGACTGCCATACTACACACAACACAATCTGGAAATAGTTTATTTGCATATTTCTGAAAATGGTTATTTCACTAGAGAACACTGCCAGGGTCACTAACAATGGCCTTGCTAACCAAAGGTTTTATCTCTTTTCTCCCCTTTCCTTTCTTCTTCTGTGTCTTTAAGGTGGTCTTGGTGCGGTGGAATGAGCCCTTCCAGAAACTGGCCACCTGTGATACAGATGGAGGGATCTTTGTTTGGATCCAGTATGAGGGCCGCTGGTCCGTGGAGCTGGTCAATGACCGTGGAGCGCAGGTAAAATACATTACACAGAAATGGGACATATTGATTATATCAATTAAAAGTGCATTTTTACTTAGGCTTGTTGCTATGTACTTACTGTACTGTGTTGTGTTGTACTGCATAGGCACAGAAGATAAAGACATAAAAATAGTATTCATAAAAATGGGGTGTATATGTAAATAGCTAGTTGAAGTGCAATATAGAACCGTAATGGAAGCAAAACAAGCATCAGAAACAATACAGAAAAAGTAGTGATTTACACAAGGATGTCCATGAAAATAATGGAATGTCAATCAAGTATTTGCATCACATAGGGGGAAAAAATGTCCCTGACATTAAGAGTGCCGTTTTTAAATAACTGCCAAGCGAACATAAAATGAGTAGGCCTAATCCATCAATCACTGTCATCTGCTGAGCTAAGTCTGACACATTCTGAGGGCATCTTATCTTTTGTGATCAATTCACTTAGTATATGACAGTCTAAGCAAGGGCCTCTCTCTTCAAATACATGGTATAAACAGTTTGAAATAGTGTTCTTTTCACCTGGAGGTTAAGGTTTAATTTCAAGTACAAGTGTTTATATTTAAACTGACATTAGCAGAGGCAGTCATTATTTCTGTTGATGGAGACCCTTTCATTATTAACAGTCTGCAGGAAGGCATGCGTTTTAATTCACTTTGTTCTGTGGTATTCTGACAGTACTAGTCACTGTTAATACTGGGATGAAACAAAAAATTTCAAAAATGACAAAAGTAAGTGAGAGTGTAAATGTCTTGCTAGAGGCTTCTAGAGGCCTTGCTCCTTTTTACATCTCAAAGTCTTTTGAAAACTTTTAATCTTTGCCACCATTAGAGTGCTGTCAAGTGATTAGTTGAGTGATTAAGAATTTTTCCATAAAATACCAGAAATATTTAATGCACCAGACCCCAAGATGGCATCCTCATATTTCTTGTTTCTTTTGACCAACAGTCCAAAACCCAAAGATAATCAGTTTACTATCATGTATGACAAAGAACTGCAGCTTTGTGTTATGTTGCTCAACTTATTCAAGTTGAGTAGTTGATTCAGTTCTTCATTACAAAATGACAGTTAAAATGAACATCAGAGGCTGCTGCTAGAATACACAACAGTTTAGGTGTATACAAAGGTATATTGTTCTAATAACTATCAACTGTGCTTTAAAAGAATCAAGCTAGCATCCGTCATGATCATCATTTCATCATTAACTATTGTCTGGTGCCCTCTAGGTGAGTGACTTCACCTGGTCCCACGATGGCACCCAGGCTCTTATCTCTTATCGTGATGGCTTTGTCCTAGTGGGATCAGTCAGTGGGCAAAGACACTGGTCTTCCGAGATCAACCTAGAAAGCCAGATTACCTGCGGTATCTGGACCCCCGATGACCAGCAGGTAAAACACACACACACACACACACCCCCACAGAATTGTGATGGGTACGACTTTTCCACCCAGCACTATGCCAGCTTTTGAATGCTAATAGATGTAGAAGTGTTAGGTTTTCATTTGCCACTTTTAGTAAGTGAACTTGTCATTCAGAAGGCAAGACTGGTCCTGAGGGGAGATCATCTGTGAGTGACAGCAAGCATCCTCTGACTTGAATGGGTTTTGGTTTTGTTAGGCTGTGTTTTTGCTTTCATGCTGTTAAATTGTCAGCTCAAGTTGGACATTATCAAACATTCAGTCTATATATGTGTCTGTCTTTGTTCATCACCTTCATCCCATTTATGTCTATTTCTCAAAGTTGTTTTCCTTGTGATACGCATTTCTCTTGGCTTTGTGCTTCCTTTTATCTGTCATCTCCTTTCTATCTTTGTTCTGTTGTCTTTGTGTTACATTTCTGTCAAGTCTTTGTCTTTCATCTTCCTAATAACCCTTCACTATTTCACTCTAGGTGCTGTTTGGTACTGCAGATGGACAGGTGATAGTGATGGACTGCCATGGGCGCATGCTGGCCCATATTTTGCTGCATGAGTCGGATGGCATCGTCAGCATGTCCTGGAACTATCCCAGTTTCCTGGTGGAGGACAGCAGTGGGAGCGACACGGACTCCGACGACTACTCCCCACCACAAAGTAAGTTGTTCAGGGTTTGATCTGAATAGAAGGCACTTTGTGGCTTCCTTCAGCACCCAACTGAAATAGTGTAGACATGATTTAAGAGTATAACCTGATGTAGAACTGGAGGGCAATACAAGTTTTCATAGTAAAGAGTTGTTTCAATAGGGAGTATAGTGCAGAGGTACAGTAGTCCAGTTCTGCTGCACAGAAGAAAGCAGATGCAGGATAATCAGCGAGCTTCAACTCCTATCCTCTTTTACCTCCATATTTTAATGCTCCATCAATTCTTCCTCATGCCCCTATTCCAAGGGGAACTATAAAGATTTCCAGGTGGGGGCACAAACTATGCCTGCTAGATCTGCACTACATTATCATTGGTATCCTCGACCCCTCTGGTATTCTCATGAATCTTTTAGACTCGGAAACAGGTGTACATGAACTGTGCCCGGGCCTTCTGTCAAGTCATTAGTTAAATATGCAGATCATATTATCAAAAGAGAGAAATGATAATTGATAAATTAACAAATCATGAAAAGCAACGGCTCAGACCATAAAATATTTTCAGTTGTGTACTTCTGAACTACAAATGGAGCCAGCCATTAACTCTCTCTATGCTTTTGACTGTCTTTGTCATTTTTATATACCTGTCTATTGTCCTGTTTAGTTGTACATGGGTAGAAAGTCACAATTGGCATGTTCTTGAATAAAGAATACCTGTATACTCACTATCCCTCAGGTTTGTTCATTTAATAAAGGCTATGGCAGATCTTTTAAATAATGGTACAAGCAGTTACACCTCCAACATTTCTGAAAAAATGAAAACCATCCCAGAATATACACTAGTGGTATGAAAGAATCACATTATAGTTTTGTCTAGCTACATGAAAAAATGTGATAAGTATGGAAAGTTGTCCTAGCCATACTGTGAAAGAAAGATATTTGTGATACTGATCTCACAGGCAATGGGGGCCATTTAATGAAGCTTCAGGAGTGGGAAGATGAATATTAACTGTTTCCCACTTCTCTGCCTGTTGTGAAGACAAAGAGGGAGAGATGCATTAAAACAAAAGAGTGTAACCAAATGTAAGGTGGGTGGGAGGCTGCGGTGAAAGATGTAGAGCAGGAGGTGACGGAGGTTGCGTAGTGAAAGAGAACTCTCCTGACATTGGGCAGCCATCAGCACTGGACCTCCTGGTTTGCTCTTACTGGTGCAGTAGCTGTTGTCATAACAGCAGCAACCGTCACAGTGCAAGTGTGTACGTCACTAGACTCCTCATGTGCGGCACACTTAACGGTATGCTCAAGTGGACAATCACAGCCTCTAACCGGAAAAGGGGTGTATTGTCTTGAATGAAGATACAATGTGAAAGATCTATTCTGACTGTGTTTTCAGTGGTGCTTTCTTTAACCAAATCCCCTAGGACTCTCCTAGAATAAGTTTACCTGCACTGTCAAGAATATAGCCCTGGTACCTAAAATGTGATACCTCCATTGACTGCATGCTATAGTTAGCATTTTGTCCAAAGCTGCCCTCATTACCAGATACAGACAGATAACAGTTGAAGTGATAAACATCAAATCCCCACTTGGAGATTCCCCTCCATCTAACTTATTTTCCAATTGTCATGATTCAAGTATTTTTGTTAATCCTCTAATGATGCAAGCCATGTCAGCTTTTCTAGAATTGGCTTCCTGTGCTGATATACATTAGTAGTAATTAGGAACAGTCCACATAACAACCTAATTTTTATTGGTTCCTGTTTTGTCTTTTTGCCTCCTTTTCTCTTGAGCTTAATTAGTCCCAGTTGCTAAGGCTGTATTGGTGAGGGTCTGTCCTCCTCCTGCTGTTTTTCTCCCTCCCTTCACCATGGGCCAAGTGGTTAAGCTGAAAAGTGCTTGCATTAGCTGGAACACTGATTATGCTCTAACTCGCTAATTAAACCAGTCAATAGCAATTGATTGGCCACAATAGAAATTATCTCTCAAGTCGACAACCTGACTTGAGACACCAGGCCGCTTCTTCCTCTGCCTGCCAGATCACTCTGTCATGATATATGATGATGACCAGTTATCACTGCACAGCACACTGCATTACAGCAGCATTATATATCTGATTTAATGCAACTTCCATTGTAAACTTTACTATAGGGAAGTAGTAACTGTTTTGGGCTGAAAGTCAAAAACAGAGGTAGTTATTTAATTTGTGTTAGTATTTGGGTCATTGCACGACCATGTGAAAGGACAGACTCAAGGATGTTTTAATGGGAAATATATGGGTGATTGTCTGGAGGTGTTTTATTTATAGCAGTTTGACTGAGAATGCCACTTGTTTGTAGCTACAAGTGCAGCAGCAAGATGCAGGGAGTGTGTGTTAGTGCAAATATGTATTCTTGGGAATAGGACACAGTGGTATATCACTGAAAACTGCCAAGGATGTGGAACTGTCTTTGCCTCTCTCATAACAGTCCCCAGCTACCTCTAAACACAAATAAACAGAGAGGGAGAGTCTTTTATGGTCCACTCTAGAAATGCATATTAGTCATCTCATCCTCTGTAGGTTTCCACTATGATACCTCCATTTATGGCTGAAACTAACGATTCCTCTCATTGTCGATTTATCTGCAGATTATTAGTTTGGTCTGTGAAATGTCCCTTTTGTCCAACCAACACCAACAAACCAAACAATATTTAGTTTATTATCACATAACTGAAACTAGGTCATGTTTGGCATCTTTTTTTCTTGAAAAAAGAATCAATTATCAAAATGATTGCCAAATTATTGTCTTTGGATTCCCTGATTCAATGTCAGGCTAGATCCTGGATGTAATAAGCCTTCATGTTATGTATTCTATGTTTTGCAATATAAAGTTAAACCCCTAGATAAAATTGATTTTAGAATTTCTTAAGTGCACAGGGGTGTATGATTTTAACACTAGTTGTCCCATGACAGAAAATTGGTTGACATCCACTATCATGGATCAGCTTACTTAAATGTAAAACATGCAGGCAATAGTTTTGTTTATAGCTGAACAGTTTGCGGTTGATACCATGTACTTTAAACTGTCTCTGACCTCATTGTGTTGCTCTCACACTGCCTGTTTTAAGATGCTTGTGTTGTCCTGTGTCTCTTCTCAGTGCACAGCCAGAAACCCCTGCTGACAGTGAGCTTCACCTCTGGAGACATCAGCCTGATGAACAACTACGATGACCTCTCTCCGACCCTCATCCGCACGGGCCTGAAAGGTGTGTGTAGGTGACTCCTCATTAATGCATGCCCAAGTGTTCCAGCAATTTTGTCTCTTTTTTTTTGATTAATTGCTTTTCCTGCTCACTTGTTTATACCTATTTAAAAAAAAAAAACAAAAAAAAACACATGTCTCAAGGAATTTTGTATTTGTCTTTTGTCAAAATTAGCTGTATATGTTAGTGTTCACAACATTATGCTTTTTGATGTGCTGTAGATGTGGTGGTCCAGTGGTGTTCGCAGGGGGACCTCCTTGCAGTGGCAGGGATGGAGAGGACCCTCCTCTCCCCCGACCCCTCCTGTCCTCCCCCCACCAGAAACGCCATTGTCAAGTTCTACAACGTTCGGGGTGAACACATCTACACACTGGACACACCAGCACAGGTGATCATTTAACAGTGCCAGACTTGGCTAACGAGTCACTGTACTCGCTTTTTTTTGTAACAAGTCTTACCTAATTAATGTAATTTATAATGTGTCTCCTCAACCTTGCATTTTATGTATTTTACTTCCCTGACTCAATGATTGGACTCTACATCAGTATACATTTGAAGACCTTAGACCTCTTGACTTTTTGGCTCATCTGCCAATGGCAGGTAAACTGAGAAAATTTACCAGTTAAAAATATTTTTACTGGTCGTAAAACTGCATCATGTGTTATTTGACTAAAAATAATTACCTCACGCTTTAAATATGCAAAATCGAAATAATCTTTAGCATCACTTTAACAAGTTAATTATGAATAGATAAAATTGGATTTACAACTTTTATTCTGAGCTTCTTGAATAAAAGTTCAATCAATTACATTGTTTCACTTTAACTATACTTTTCCTACATGTCTTCATCCGACATGTCTTTGTCACCCCTTTTCTAAACGCCCTGCTCACTATGATCACTGTGTAGTGTGTGAAATATAGCCAACCCTAGAGTCCGATAGGTGCAGTGGAGGTGAGGGTGTAAAGCAACTGTAAGAGCCAATATGCTACCTGGAAGCAGTGAAAGTTTTCGACGCATGCGCACATATACAATGAAGATTGTCAATGGAAATGGATAAAAATAAATTAAAAATTAATAGTTTTAACTGCAAATACGGCTTGTACATTCATCAATCACACAAGGTAAAAAGGTTCGTCAATTACTCAACCCCAGGACAGCACCTCAGGGGATTAAAGCCAGGGCTTAGCCTTTACAGTAACAGATTAACATAAAGTAACAAAGTGAAGTTACTAATATAAATGTTGTTTTAAATTTAGAAACTACAAAGCACTGATATGTAGCATCTGTTAAAAACTTGATTTTACAGTCTGGTACATTACATTTACTCATTTAGCTGACGCTTTTATCCAAAGCGACTTACAATTGCTATACATGTCAGAGGTCGCACACCTATGGAGCAACGAGGGGTTAAGTGTCTTGCTCGGGGACACAATGGTGGATGTCTCACAGTGGGAATCGAACCCAGGTCTCCCACACCAAAGGCAAGCATCTTGTCTATGCGCCATCACCACCCGCAAGTCAAGCAAGTCACAAAGTAACACAATCAAGTTCTATCAAATAGCCAACGCTGAGTTGATTGCACATTCTGGGAGATGATTAAAAGTTATTTGAAGATATGCCTGCAAAGTTCAAGAAATAATTTCATCACAGCCAGAAACCTTAACATTCACCCATCTTTTATGCTGAACATTAACCTTTTGAAATGATTTGGTGCAGTATGAAGTAAAATGTGACAAAACAATCTTAATCCTCTCTCCAATGTATCTTCTCCATCACCCTGCAGCGCCCCATTACGACGCTGTGCTGGGGTCACCGGGACTCTCGTCTGTTCTTGGCATGTGGCCCGGCGCTCTACGTTGTGCGAGTTGAGCACCGCGTTGCCAGCCTACAGCTACTCTGCCAGCAGGGCATCGCCACAGCAGTGAAGGAGGAAAAAGATGTTGCCAAGCTCACCATGCCTTCCCGCCTCTGTTCTTATGTCACTACTGCTTTCGCCCCCACCATAAAGGTAATGCAGAACAGGAGGGTGTTGGATCCATTTTAACCACCAAAATAATTGAAGACCTATAACAGTCCTGTGATTGATGTCACCTTCTGAGACAGCAAGTCATAATTTGACTGAGATAAGCCCAGGCAAAGTGTTGTTTAGCATAACCAACTTGAATAGCAATAAACTACACAATAACAATATACAACCCCATATTTTCTCTTTCAGCCCCCCATCCCAGATCCCAACAACATGCGTGATTTTGTGAGCTACCCAACAGCTGGAAATGAGCGTCTGCACTGTACCATGAAGCGTACGGAGGATAACCCTGAGGTGGGGGGGCCCTGTTACACTCTGTACTTGGAGTACCTTGGAGGTCTGGTGCCTATCCTCAAAGGCAGACGCATAAGTAAACTTCGTCCTGAATTTGTCATCATGGATCCCAAGACAGATGGAAAAACAGGTAAAACTGAGCTTTTGTCATACTGGCAACCTAACAGAAGATAATTGTCCTGTGTACGATCTAAATAGTAAGACTGTGAACATTCAAGTCAACTGTTTTAACATAAATACAACATTTGTATATACCATATATGCTAATAAATATAAGCTAATAAAATTGAGCTTTGCATTTATGGAATATATTTAATAGGAGTATGTGGGAATGATTACATACAGTGTAAGACTTTTTTTTTTTTAAATCAGATTTTTCTCATTCTTTCCATTTAAATGGGTGAATTCTAATAATAAAATATTAGAAAATGTTACTCCCATATAATTTGTTTGGTGCACTGTTACTGCTCTGTGCAAGAACCAAAATGTATTACTGCTAAATGTATTCCTCTCAGACATATTTGTCTGCTCCAGTACTTTTCCAGCTATTTGAGTTTCTTGAGTTGGCACTCAGAGCGACTATGTTTTAGTCACATAGGGCAGACTGGGCCCATGTTAATTAAAAGCTGCTTAATGAGGGCTCTGATGGCCCCTGGGTTCCTCATAAATCAACCCGCACCGTCCCCACACAGTGATAAATGAAGCCAGCCATAAAATGGTTCCAGCCCATCCACACTTTAATATCCAACAAATAAATTAGCTTGACCTAAACTGGAGCAGCAGTGGTTCACAGACTCCATGTGAATAATGAAAAAGAAAAGACTTGAAACCACTGAAACAATGGTTTGGACAGACTGGGTCTAAATTGTTTATCTGTAGAAATGGTGGAAGATTGCTGCTGACATCATGTTTTGTAAAAATTATGAAGATTCCCACCTGCAGGTTGTTAAAGTGCATTTCTACATTTCTCCTCTCTGATTTAGACCACATGGTTATAACCTTCTAAAATGGCAAAATAATTTAAATTACGTTATTTTGTATTTAACATACATGCTAGACATTTGCTGCATCATTGTAAATAAGAGAACAAATAACACCACATATTAGCTGTATTTAGTAAAATTGATCTTAATCTGTAATCTATTTACTAAAATTTACTCCATTCTTTCCATCCTCCATCTTATTTTCTCTCTTCAGATGAGATATATGGCAACAGTCTGATATCTGCCATGATTGACAGCTGTAACTGCTCAGACTCCAGTGACATTGAGCTGAGCGATGACTGGGTTGGCAAGAAATCTCCAAAGATATCCAGAGGCAGCAAATCCCCTAAACTGCCCAGGTAACCCGACCTGACCAGTGTGTACTGCAGCATGCCGTCTTTAACTAACATTTCCTTTTTTGTGTGTTTGACATTTGGTTCTTTGACCCAACAACTGTCCATGTGAAATGGAAAAGAGATTGTTTGGTTCTCTCCCCACAATATTAAATAAATCAAGTCAAGGTGGTTTGGTTTACATATTTCATAACGATTCAATTTTTTTGAATTAAGAAATAATTTTTGTGTCAATCTAGATTTTATTTTATTTTTTAAACAGTAACATGATTATTCAGTGTTTATTTAGATTCTTCTGTCACAGCAGAGAAGCAAAGAATGCATTAAGATGTCTTAGATTGTTGTCACTCCTCACATCCTCCAACACATCAGAATTAAATAACTTAATAACTAACTTTCTAACTTACTTTTTAATGTGTTTTAGTGTGACATCCCAGCAGTTGAAATCTTCCTTCCTATATTCACCCTTTTACATAAATGTCAGATTCCATTGAAATGTTCTGCACTTGAGTTTTGGTTCACTGCATGCCTAAACCTTCTTTTTTTTATTTGCTACTTTCTCTGTAGAGACTTAGTTTGTCCCTTTACCAACAGGATCAACATTGATCCCAGAAAATCTCCCAAACTATCCCGTGCTACACAAGAGATCTCAAGGTCACCGCGGTTACCTATACGGAAACCATCGATTGGGTCACCTAGTCTAACACGGAGGGAATTTCCCCTAGATGATATCACTCAGGTAAA